GCAATTCAATTGTCTTGCAATCACCAGAGCTTTTGTTCTTCAGAATTACTCATTTCCTTGCTTATTAGTATGCGGTCTTTATCATCAAGAAATTCAATTGCTATTATCATTAATTTTAATTATTTATTTGGTCATTGTTCTTTTTTTTGCTTGCCAAATCTTTTGCCTATCAGTGGGTTTCCTGCAACAATTAATTATATTCAGATATAGTATTTGAGTTATCTCACACTCCCCCACCCCCACTAAATGAATTAGGGTTAAGATGATAGATTAAAGGTTGATAATTACTTCTGTGGGTTTATGTACCTACATTATACTGTAATCACAAGGATATTGTACTAATTGATTACCTCTGTTTTGGGCAAAAACTTTTCAGGCATCATATTTTAACATAAATATTGGGAAAAAGTCCCAAAGGTGCTTTTTCTGGAGGCAACTGGACTTTATTGTTTTTTTCTTTGAAGACATTTCGCTTCTCATCCAAGAAGCTTCTTCAGCTCTGACAGGATAGTGGGGAATGGGTGGACTTATTCTCCACTATCCTGTCAGAGCTGAAGAAGCTTCTTGGATGAGAAGTGAAACGTCTTCAAAGAAAAACCAACAAAGTCCAGTTGCCTCCAGAAAAAGCACCTTTGGGACAACCATGACATGGATGACTGAGAATTTCTACAGATTTTTACTGGAAAAGAGGAACAAGAGTCATTTTTTAAATTAATTGCAGGTGGATTTTAACTTTATATCACCTGTCTGATCATATTGAATTACCACTGTACATGGTACTTTGTGAGCATATATATTTCACATAGATATAAAGTAGTTACTGCCATTTTTATTTATTTGTTTTCGTTTGTGGTTAAATCCAAGGTTTCCTTTCTACAAATAAAACGCCTATTTCAGATAAGCGTTTTCTGATTTAGCTCTAAAAATATGTGTGTCTGGCAACATTAATTACAGATAGTCATTGACTTATAACTACCCTGTTTCCCCCAAAATAAGACATCCCCTGATAATAAGCCCAATCGGGCTTTTGAGCACATGGCAATAAGGTCAAGCGCTTATTTCAGGATTCAAAAAAATATAAGACAGGGTCTTATTTTCAGGGAAACATGGTACTTGTTTAGTGATCCTTTCAAGATACACTGAAAAAAGTGAGTTATGTTCCTCTCACTACTGATCATTGCAGCATCCCAACAGTCATATAATCAAAAATTGGAAGCTTGGCAGCCAGCATGTATTTACAATAGTTGCCGTGTCTTGGGATCATGTGATATGGAACTTTCCTAGTTGGCTTCTGACAAGTGTGGGGGTGGGAGGCTGCATTCATTTAACAACTTTATGATTCACTTAACGATCATGGCAAAAGTTGTAACATTGAGTACGACTCACTTAACAATTGCATGGCTTAGCAGTGGAAGTTTCAGTCCCAACTGTGGTCATTCGTTGAGGGGTACGTGTATTTCGTTCATAATTTCTCACCAATAGCTGAACTGAATAGAACATTAATTTTGTATTTGCACCTTTTAGAATTGTGTGTAGCCATCCAATAAATATTTTATGTGTTACTGTAAATAACATAACAACAAACATATTAAGCAAAACAGGTTGAAAAAAATATACCCACCAAAATGCATGTGAAATCTTTTATGCCCTTAAAGCAGTTGCACACTAATATAATATGAGAGAAATTAATGTAAGATTAAGAATTAAAAACTGAGTGGAAAAATGAAATTGATAATTTTATCTATTTTTCTTAGAGTAAAAAGTTTTAATTAACTGAAAGAGCCTTGCTACTGTGTGTACTGTGTGTATAGAATTATGTAGATATGTTTGAACTATAAATGCCAGCTGTCACTTTGATAACACCTGGTAAAACATGGACAACATACAGTCTTTGGATCAAAATGCTTAGTAATGTAGCAAGAGCAATAGCTCTTACTTATATACTATCCCACAGCACTCTCTAGGTGGTTTATAACAGAGTTCCCCAACCTTTCCGGGTTGGTGGCCCGGAGCAAGAGGAGGGGGAAAAGGGGGAATGATTTTGTAGGATGGGCAGGTACATGTACGGGGATGAGAGTGCCTGTGACATTCATGGCGATGCTTGCACGAATGGGGCCGCAAGTGACTACAATGAGGCTTATGCGAGTGGGGCTGCAATCGCCTGTGACAAGGCTTGCATGAGTAGGACCACAGATGTTGTGACCTAGGCTTACTGAGTCATTAAAACACACGAGTGAATTACTGTCATTCATAGCGGAGTCCCAATTAGTTGCAAAAAGTCCTTTGGGAGAAGTCCTTCGGGATAATCACCAACCTTGTCTCCCTTGACATGCTGCCAAAGACTTAATTGGCAAAGCCACATGGAGTCCAGAATCAAACCGAGATGCTGACTGGGAACAGAATTAACAACGTTGCTTTCCTGCAAAGGCCCCACGTGCCTTTCCTGCAAAGGCCACAGGTGCCTTTGCTCCGCTTTTAAGCCTTATGGGAGGGGTCTATCATCTCTAGGTCTTACTTCCGAGTTGTCCCTTTTGTTTTAACTATTCTTGCCTTCTGGCAGCTCTGTGCATGTGCGCACTAGGAACAGGCTCATCCTGTTCCTCTGCCTCTCTGCTGTCTGACTCTGGGGGCTTCAGAGTCCGCACATAACTCCCAAATGGCTCTGGCCCAGGGATGAAATGCTCCCGGTTCAGACCGGATCGCCTGATCCAGTAGTGATGGCAGTGGATGGTTCGGACAATTGGTAGCAAAAATCCCTGCACACACACCCCTCCCATGCTCAGCTGAGCCGCGCGATCATCAGAGGCTTTTTTTTTTTAACTTTTAAAAGCATTTTTAAATGCTTTTAAAAGTAAAAAAAAAAGCCTCTGATGATTGCGCAGCTCAGCTGGAGTCGCCAGAGGCTTTTAAAAGCACTTTTTCTGCAACCTCTTCTCTCCTCTGATTCAGAGGCCTTGTCTGGGCCTTTCCAAACTCCAGGACTGGCCCATGTTCCTCCCCAGCCTCCTCACTGTTCAACTGTGCTGCCAGCTCTGCAGGCTGCTGGTGGACCACAACAAGAAGTGCCTGCAATGAGGCTTGTGCGAGTGGGGCCGTGACTGCTCAGAATGTTTGTGCGATGTGGATGTGCGTGCACTGGCCAGTCACTCATGTGGTTCGGTGGCAATTAGGCCACAACCCGGTAGTGGGACAGGCTGGGTCCTCATTCTTTGGAAGGATGGAAGGCTGAGTCAACCTTGAGCCTGTCAGCATCAGGATCAAACTTCAGAGTGTGGGCAGAATTTGCCAGCAATGTAGGTAGTCCTCAACTTACAACCACAATTGAACCCAAAATTTCTGTTGCTAAGTGAAACATTTGTTAAGTGAATTTTGCCCCATTTTATGACCTTTCTTGCCACAGTTCTTAAGTGAATCACTGCAATTGTTAAGTTAGCAAAATGGTTATTAAGTGAATCTGACTTCTCCATTGACTTTGCTTGTCAGAAGATAGAAAAAGTGACCCAAGGACACTGCAACTGTCATAAATATGAGTCAGTTGCCAAGCATCCAAATTTTGATCACCTGACTATGGGGATGCTGCAGTGGTTGTAAGTGCTTTCTAACTTGAATGGTCACTAAATGAACTGTTGTAAGTCAGAGATTACCTGTACTGCATTCTAATCACTGCGCCACCAGGGCTCCTGAATGCTGTAATTTTTATATTTCCATACAACATATTAAGCCATAAACTATGGTATGCAAGTTACACTGACTGGTTTCACAGTATGATTAATATAAATCACATAATGGCTTAGTACAATGTGTGGATTCAACCAGTGTCTTTTACCAGTTTTCAGTCAATTATCTGCTATAAGAATTCCTTCCTCTGTGGAATAAGATAGCATCATGAGGTTGCAAGAAGTCCCCTTTTCCAGCCACTAATGATTATCTTGCTTTATGAATGCATTGTTTCATGAGGCTAAGGTGTATTGAAATAAGGGCTATCGGGAATGCTGCCTTTGCACCATCTCTTCTCTATGAAAAAGAGGAGATACTTCTCTTTTCCCCAAGATAGGTATGGTGGCATATTAAGCCAGCTTTATGGGAAAGGTGAGAGATAGACAAAACCTTGAAGACAGTTCTTCAGACACTTCCTCTGCTTCTGGCAAACCAGCACAGCTAATCTTTTACCTTTTTGCAAGCTACTGGAGCGGTGAGAAAAAAACAAAACCATGTTAAGATGATTTGTAGTGACCTAAATGGTGGCTTCTTGTGAGAGTGGATTATTTCTTTTTGCTTTTCAAAAGTCTTGAATAATTGCTACTTGCATTGAGAACTTTGAAGTTTCTAAAAGGGGAAGATCCCCACAGCAGGCTCCATAAATTGGACTAGAAGACCAGGACTGGATGTTTCTGAGAAATTTATGTGAGTACATTTCTTGATTCCAAAGTATTACTGCATAGAATTTTCCAGTTGGAATGATTCATGGAGAGAGAGAGACAAAAATAGCCAGCCATGTGTCACAATCCAAAAAAAAATTTGAATTACATTTAACATTTAACAAAAAAGAAATGAGGTGAATAATTTCCTCTGGTAACAATATTTTGGCAGGTTTATTATGAAGAGAAAGGTCAAAAGGGAAGTTACATGGTATATAATTATCATATTTGTCTACTCTCTGAGGATTTTTCCTAAATATTTTGGGATACTGGATAAGAAAAGTAAGACAGGCTCAATGAAATGCTTAATATAGCATGATAAGTTAGCCTTTCTCAACCTGCATATCCAGAGGCCAATCTGATTTACCAAAATTTGAGATTGCATTGTTTCCTTTCTCCTCTTCTGGTATAAATTTAAGGAGGACTTATTTAATCCTTCTCATTTTATTGTCCAAGCCAGCAAATTATTAATTGCAAATGATTTATGAATCAAGCTTTAGCAATACTTGAATTTGTTTTCTTATTGATCCTTCCCTTTTTGTTCTTGAAGAGATTTTCTGGCTCCAAGAATCAAGAAAGACATGCAGAATAATTTATTTTATTATACTTCACCTATATACAAAATCCTGGCACACTAAAAAAAAAATACATTTGGGTAACTGCAGATATCTTCTGAAAATAGCTAGGGTGAAACTGTTTTAACCCTCTTCTTGTGAACCAGACTTTCCAAGCTTTGCTGCATCTTTGTCCTATGGAAAGTAGCCCCTTCTTTCTGGGAATCCAATTACTTCAAACTTCTTCCAAAAGAGGCTAGTATTCTTCGTTCACCACAAATACATTCACAGTTCAGATTTCAGACAACCTAAATAGCTGGTTGAGACAGAAGAAAATCTTCTGCATGGAGAAAACAAGGGAAAGCATGAAGACCTGAGATTTAGGATGGCATCCAGAGATGATAATTACATATATCAGTGACAAATAACACAGCAGCAAATGGACCATGCTCAACTGTGATTTTTATAATAATCCATGTGTTCAGTGGTATGTTTGTGCTGTTTGCTTTCACAGAAGCTTAATTTTGTAAATGCATGGTTCTTTATTAATCTTCCTTGGGGTTCACTTCTATAATTGAGCAGAGCAGAAGGCTCAGCAGAAAAAGGGTGAGAGCCAAGGGCAACATCAACTGTCAAGATCATGAGCAGGAGTCTGAGTTGAAAGAAGATAAGAGTCTTCCTCTTTGAATTAGATTCACCCATAGAAGAGGTGACCCTGAATTTAAGATGATCCTCCATAATGGAAGATTACATCAATCAATCAATCAATCAGTTTTCCTTCTGCCCTCTAGTGCTTCTATTACCTCATTATTATGGAAGATGACTCTTCTAATTTAAAGGCAAGTATGTTTGAATGGGGGGAAATGTAGCTTTCATTTGAGCAAATTCAATACTTTTAATGTTATTTTTGTTGGTTTTTTCTGGTTCTGAACCCAATTCAATATTGCAAACATATCTCTTCTTTCTCTTTTTCTTCTTCCTCCTTCTTTTTCCTGTATAGTTTAGTTAAAATGTGTAGATGTATCGACTCTTCTATGATAGTTTTACATGAAATGAAGTTTGTTAGCTTTGTTCTTGATTGCTAATATTAGTATAATTGCTTGTTTATGTTAAAGGATGTAGTAACATTATTTTTAAAAAGTCAGCAGCAAAATAATAACTGTTCCCTTAATATTCCCATATCATATACTCACACATCTACACTTCCAGAATTTGCCATACCCATCAACGCTAAGTCAGTGTGTCCAACAGGAAGGGATGGCGAGAGTTGTAGTGCAGCACATCAGTAGGGTGAAATGTTGCACATCCCTAGTCTGACATTTAAACAATGAATGTAACAATTCAGCCCCAAACCCCATTGCAAAGGGGATGTCTCCCAATTCTCACCAAATTACTTCCTCATAATAGCAGTAAAGTAAAATATGGAAAGCGCCATGTATCACATCCTCAGTAACTGCTTAAAGGAAATGCAAGATATATAAGTAATAAATAATAACCCTCTTTTCCAGTATTTTTGTAGCTCTGGTATTAGTTGCATAAGTTACAGTATTTCCTACTAATGCATTGAATAGCATTGTGTTCGTTGAAAACGCCTATCATACACAGCCATTGTGTTGCCTTAACAGGATGGGAATTGTTACCAAACAAGTCCAGAAAGTTCTGAGTTGCTCAAAATAAATTTTCCTGGACATTATATGGTTGTGGCCTCATTACTCTGTATTGCAAATTGAGTGCTGTTTCCATATGCAAAGTTATTGAGCCAGAGAGGAATGTTCAGGAAACAAAATAATGTGCATGCTATCTCCTTTTCTGTTGCCTGCTTATGTGTGTGTGTGTGAGAGAGAGGGGGGGGAGGGAGAGGGAGATTTGGCTGACAATGGGGAGACCTTTGCTTCCATATTTCATTTGCTTTTTTGATGTGCTAAAAAGGCTGAAGAGATGTGTCAAGAACATTAAAGAAGGTTAAGCTTGATTGAGCGGGCATCAGACATATAAGAGTAGGGTATGGCGATAAAATATTGAAGAGAAGCTGGTTTTATCTTTTTCTCCCTCATTGGTTTTGATAACTTCTATATTAAGTAGGAATAATCCTAGAGGAAGTAGTTGATGCATATATCTCATCTGAATGGAAAAGCAGATTTTTTTAATTTTAAAAAATCTTACAGAGAAACCTGATTTATATGAATTAGTAGGAAAGATAAAAATTACTTGATGATTTAAAAAATAAAACATGATTATTAAATTAATATTTTGAGGAAGGCAAATACCTAATATTCTTATATATAAGAGAAAGGCTATTACAAGAATATCAGAGATGATGCAAATGCAATGGAGTGCTCATTCTTTATGTAATTCTGCAATATGTTCCTCATCCCATAAAGATACTTAGGAGCTCCTTTTATTATGGCACAATAACAATATAAAATCAGAAAACCTGAATAAGGAGTTCACAGAGATTTAGAATCCCCCCCAAAGCATTTCAGTTTTCCTTTTCCCCTTAACTTTGACTTATCTCTGAGTTAATGGTTAGCTTTAAATAAGAATTAGAACTGATTTTTTTAAAAAATGTTGAGCTGCGTAAAAAGGCATAAACCTAATTTGGTTTATGCTGAAATAAATGGATTCAAAGGTAGAAATATCCTTCAGTGATATTGGGGTAAAAGTTAAAGTTAGCAGCATTTTGCCTTTGTTACCTAGATTCTGCAAACATTGATTAAATACATCATCTGTGTAAAATGATAATGAAATAAAAGTCCAAGATAACTGGATAGGTGCCAAATTGGGGTAAGTGGAAAAGAAAAGGACATGTAGACAAAAGGCAGGTTCCTTCTTTCCTTGTTATTGTAGGAAGTTAGCACCCACCCCTTTCCTGGAAGAGTGAAATATTTTAGGAAATATGAAAAAGGCACAATATTATATTTCCCTGGATGAGAAATGGAGAAGCATATTTTACAGACAAAGCAGCTCCCATTTTCCTGCCCCCACCCTTTGTCAATGGGCCATTAAGGCTTGGGCCAGTCTATTCTACATAACAAAGATCTACCTCCTTCAGGCAGAGTCAAAGTAGGAATTGCCAAAGATCCAACAAAGATAGGATTAGCCCTCTACACAATAGCAGCAGAAACTCACCACATGTGACCTGGGAAGCACATGTGACCATCAGCCAGCAAGGCCCCCACCCCCTGGGAGTCTGACAACCAATCAGAGTACTCTTTCTGGGCCCCAGGAAGTTCAAAGCCAGAGAGAGCATAAAACCTGAAAAACTCGCTGTATCTGCCCCTTTTCTGTTCAGGAACTCAAGCCATGTGATCCTGTCCACCATTAAACCATCTTTCCAAGCAGTCTCCATGTTTCCAGTGTCTTTTTCCCCACTTGGAGCAGAACCTAGAAGGAGATTTCTTCCAACAATATGCTGCTGCACTATTAGGTTTTTACTAATATGTGACATTGGCTATGTCATTGCTTTCTTTAATTTTAATCCCATATTTGAATTTTATTGAATAGCCTTTGCTTTTCTGTTGGTTGGCTGATCTTGAGAGGTTATACGGGTTGAATTTGGTTAATGTTTTTGTGGAAGATAACCAGGTAATGCTAGGATGAGAGCTAGACAGCAAATTTGAAAAACATTTCAGGAAAAAAGAAGGGAGAAAACGGTATTATTTTTTTAATTCTATTTTTATTTTATTCAAAAACAGTTAAATTTCAAAATATAAATACAAATCTCCAAAAGCCTTTTCTTTAAAAAAACAAACACGAATAAACAGAAACAAGATGCATTTAACAAACAAGATGTTTAAAAAGTGCATTTAACACACACACACACACACACAAATATATTCCCCCCCATTGTTGAATACTGATGAATATATTACAATTAACTTCCCACCTCTTGTGAAACAGCCACCCGAAATTTTAAACTACTAAATCTATTTGCAATTTATTAGCCTGACATCTATATATTATACTAATGACCAAATAATTAACAGGAAGAACAATAATAATAAGGTAAGATTAAAGTTTCAAAACTCTGTTAACAAACTGTTATTGTAATCAACTCATAGAAAATTTATCACGGTATCTTATCTAGTCCAAATCATCTGAAAAGATAACGGTGATTTGTCCTGAATCAAATATCCATATTTCTTTTTTAATACCATCTCAAATCAATTGTTCTCTACTTAAATATAATAAGTCCAAACTCCAAATTTTGTCTATCTTCCCCAAAAAATCCAGAAGGAATTGTTTTGCAATTAAATGTGATAAATCCACTCCCAATCTCATTCAATCGTCTTAGGGAAAGCCAGTTTATCACTTCTCTCAGTCAGGTTTCTGCTGTTGTAAAAGAATACAGCTTGAACTTCGGAGAGGTGTGTAGGATTGACTCATTTAGTTCTATGCCTGTGAATTCTAAGTCTGTAAAGTTAGTCCTCGAGTTAAGAATGTAATGGAGCTTGTCCATTCCATTCATACTTCAAGGATTAATGGGAGTGAATCTCATACCTTGAATGAGATCACTCCCTGCTGTCGCCCACACATTCGCTAATTGAATGCGTGGGCAAATATGTGGTTCGTTAAGTGCACACAAGGTATCTCAGGCTGGGGTAGGCCATGGGGGGCCTAGTGATGGTACAGGCCCCAATGCACAGGTGAAATTCAGCCAGTTCTCACCAGTTTGCCCAAACCATTCGTAAATTGCTTAGGCAGTTCAGAGAAATGGTTAAAAATAAAGTGCAAGAGAGGTTCTCTCTCTCTCTCTCTCTCTCTCTCTCTCTCTCTCCCTCCTTCCCTCCCTCCCTCCCTTCAGTTAATAGCTCCACTTAACAGTTGCAGTGGAATGCAGCTGATACACGCTGAATCAAGTCAATAAACAACAGAAACTGAACAGGATTAGGGCAGGGAAACCCATCAATCACTCATCTAAGGATGGGATTAACCTCTTCCCCTCAGGGAGAAGGACAAGATTAAAAACATTTTCATTATAAAGTGTTCATTAAGGAACACTTCTGTGATCAGCTGATACTCCATGGAGTTTCCTAAGACCTTTTATAGCTGCTGCAGTGTTGGCTACTTATTGTTTCTTCCTGGGGGAAAAGATACAGGAGGGGACAACGAAGCAGCTTGATCATACAGACCGTGAATTTAATGCATGTGTGGTCCAACCATCTGTATTGCTTCTTCTGTGAAGCACCCAATTTAGAACATAGAGAACATAGAATAATAGAGTTGGAAGGGTTAATGGCTTTTGGCAGCACGCCCAGGCTTTCAATTAGCCTGAGCAGCTGTTCTTAGTTTCCCTCTCAGCTGGTGTGTTTGCTTTGGGGTTGACTTTTTTTAAAAAGG